TTTTTTGGCCTTTAATTTCGATTACGTTAGAGGTTGCAATATGTTGAAACAGGTGGAGGGAAATTCCTTGGTTAGCTCCTGCTGTGTAGTACCTCTAATTTATTATTCAGTTTTAATTATAAATTATCTAGAATATACAAAGAAAGTTATACTTTTCATCATATTATAGTAAATAACATTTGTGCAAATATGGCCTACAAGTAAGTTGTATCCGTCGACAAAAGTCTCAATTTGTTATTATATCTTAAATACATTTAACAGAACTTTAATGATATGATAAAGGTTAGGTTAGGGTCTTTACAGAGTTGAAATCAGACCAGCCTGTGTAGTCGAAATTTTGTCTAGTTTTTTGGTCTAAAATGAATCAAAATGGGTGTTGCTCATAGAAAAAATTATTTAAATTAAAAAATATACCTCGAAGCTTATACAAATTAACCGGTAAATTAATTGTCACGGTTAAAATTTATTCAAACCACTTTTTTCTTAAATATCGCCTTTACAAAACTTCTTAAAAATAGACTGCATGCAATCACATTAAATGCTTATTTAAATTTATACTTACAAATAATACAAATAATATTAAGGTTTGGAATGAAACGTCCGAATCCGTATGTTTTCATGGAATCCTTACAGTTTCACAGACCTATCGTTTTAGATTGAGAATTATATCCACCAACAGCGCCGTCTTATAGACTATGGAAACCTTCCCAAAAAAATACCGTTAAAATGTAAATTGTATCATGAACCATCAAGTCAGGAGCCCTGGGCTCGTGCCCTTAAGATAAAGATGGAACTGTCCACCAAAATATACTAGATGTAATTACCGGAATCACTTTCGTTCGTTTTTCATTATTGTATCCTAATTTCCGGACAGGTACTGGTCAGCATGCAGCCGTATAGACGTATACAAAGATGTAGTAATGAATTGTTGAATATATTACAACGATTAACACATTTTTTTTTATATCCGTCAAACGCGGGTTACCGAAAATGGACCGATTCGATTAACATGTTAAGTCTCACGTTTGAAATACGTACTCCTTACAGTGTGTAAAATATATACTATACAAGTACACATAAATATGTTTAATGACACCTCACGTCCAAAGCCGCGGCCACCGTTTCGCCCTACGGCTTTGCGCAAGGATTAACATACACACACATAACGGTTGTTAAAATATATAATAAGTAAAAGAAAAAAAACGATTATAATGCTCACGGTCGAGAGTGTGTGATGACGTTTAGACAATAATATAGCATCAACATACACTATTGGAACCACTGGATTTCTGGAGAACCGGCACAGTAATGGTCCAGATCATTTAAATGTGGGTCAATGGGGTTGTGTCCGCATCGTTCACATTATATATGCATATTATTAAGCGTGTCTCTAAACAGCGGCTACCACTTGGACACACAAACACACTGGAAGAGGAGCAACGACGACACATCGAACTCGTTTTTAAGTGGTCATCGTCGTGGAATTCCAATTGATGGCGTTTACATCTCACAATATTATAATATTATACAGTCGTCGGGTTTTTTAGACATAAAATAACAACTGATTTTAAGAAGAAAACAAACAAAATAAATTAAATTTACTTTTGAACAAATCGGGTTATATTAGGACGTCTGACGCACTCTAACCAGTCCCAGCGCACAGTAATCTGACATAAAAATTAGCTTGTCTAAACTATATATGATTTTCAAATAATTGATTTTGATTATTATTTTTAGCAATTACCTACTGAATATGTAATACAGTAAATCCTACTGAAGCTAAATATAAAAAGTTAAGACCCTAAGTCGGTAGTACAGAGTGGTTTAAATTACATTTTAATTTTTATACCTTTTTTCGAGTTATTGCTGGGAATCTGTTCATAAACTTGACCAAAGCACACAAAAATATATGGGTCAAAATTTCAAATACGAACAAACGTTTAGAACGACCCTCCCTCGATTTTTTTGAAAATTACACTGCATGTCTGTTAAAATGAAAAGAATGTTCTCAAATATTTTGGATTTTTTTCCAATTATTTTGGCCATGGTCGTAAAAAGTATTTTTGGTTTTTTTCTTGACACTTCTATTTATTATTTGTTTTTATAGTATCTTCTGCCTTTAAAAAAATGTATTAAAAATCAGTGTCTTACGTAAAATAATTTCAGCTTTTTGAAAAAATTAATAATTACTTTTTTTGAGTAACAAAACGTCATTAATATTGAGCTTATAATTTAAAAATTTGGTTTTTTCGTGTTGCTCAAGTTGAGAATTTTTCTAAAAAAAATTTTAGAAATCTGAGATAATTTTACATAAAAAGTGTAAATTTCAAATTGGGTTCTCCATAAAAACGCTTAGAAAAAAAAGTGAAAATCATAGAAAAGTCGAAAAAACGATTACAGATCAAAATAGTTGAAATAATTGAATTACGTGTGAAAATAAGATAAATTTCTGTTTTTCCAGATTTTCAATATCAACAATACATGTTTTTATGGTCGCAGAATTCAAATTTAATTTTAATTGTTTTTTAATTTTAAATCTGCCCTCTTATTTGAATTATTTAGAAGAATTATTTTTTCGATTTTTAAACAATTTTCATGAGATACATCAAATTGTATGTTTTTGAGGTAGCTGCGTTCAAATTTTATATTAATTATAAAGTCATCTCCCTATTTCAGGAGTTACAGAGGACTTAAGGATAGTTTTTAGATTTAAAAAAAATGTCCATTATTAATGTCTTTGGGATTATTGAAATCCAATAATGTATACGATTTTCAATAAAATATTATTAAAACCGATATTAAAATTTAAACTATTGACCTTATAAACATACGAATTGGGTAACACCGGAATTTTTCTTCTTTCATATTGGAGATATTGGTTAAGCTAATTGTTATTTCAGACCACTGTACCCCGTTGGCCACAATAGTAATTATAGGTAATAGCCGTCCGTCGTTATATGGTTTGGTCCTCGTCGGCTATATTGAATACTAATGAAACCATTATACTGACAATCCGTGGATCGTACCATGGCAATTGGCAATAGGTATACTTTTTAGCGTTGACTGTTAAGTTTTTTTTTTGTGTTACTGTAAGTTGCTTGTAATGAGTAATACAAATGGGTAAGTACGATGTGCGTTGTTGACGATTCATATAGTGTACGAGAACGATGATACTTCAACAATCCGACGATTACCCGTTTTACCGTAAGACCGAGTTCCAGTAAAGTCAATTTATTCCATATATAGGTATCAGTGTATACTATATGTATCCCCCTAGGTCTCAAATGCGCAACACATTACTGTATATTATGTGTATTATGTAGTTGTTAGATTCAGTAGTAAGCCCTGGCCGTTAAGCACAACTCCATAAACTACAAGTTCTCAAACCCGGCTGGAGATGTCAAGCTGCGCGATTGCCTTTTAATATAGTATATAGGTCGAGTGTGGTAATGTGTAAATAATTCAAAGAGACATCGGACACTCGTTGACAATATCAACAGATTGGATAAGACGGTAAGAATAAGACGATGATTATTTATGTACGTATTATCTATCACTTGAACGAACGAAGTCTAAATAATTGAACAATTTGTCATTTTTATTGGACTCAATGTTGTAAATTTATAAATAAGAATAATTTGTTTTAACAATGAGAAAGTAAAATTAAACGTAAACTGTATAAATAAAATGTATTCAGTTACAAACATACAGTAGCGCAACTAGGATTTTTTTTTTGGGGGGGGGGGTCACAACGCTTAAACCTACCTCCCTCTGGTTGCTCCTCTGCCTACATATATTGTGTAAGGTTACATTTTTTTTTCAAAATTTGATGGCCTTTTATACTTAATATTTTAGACCGCACGACCGGTTTGGCTGACGTCGATTTTTTTTTTCTAGTCCCCCCTGCACACGTTAAAATAAGAATAATTAGTTTAATCAAAAAGTAAAAAATATCCTAATTCTTAATATGTAAGAGCCTAAAAAGTAAGCAGTAAATAGTAGAAGAAAGCGAACGAGGCGGAAAAGGTTCATGGGATATTTTAATAACAAAATGATCACAGATCATTGCAAAAGGATGTACATGTATAATTTGTTCAGAGTAAAATGTTCACTTAAACCTTAACTCTTGTTCTTTTAAAACTAACCCGCTTTCTATAACTCTATAAAACCAACTACTGTGACGGCGTCTAAACCACAAAATGCACAGTAAAGTTCGATGGTAAGTAATCTCGGTATAAACAACTAAGGTTTATTATTAGTTTTCCCTTGCCATCAGCACGACTATTGAAAATAATATTCACAGTAGACAATTGTTAGAAAATAAAGATATCGTAAAGAGAATTTCATTTTTTAACTTACAACAAAACTATAGCATAGACAAAGGCTTAACTCCAATTCAAATAAGCCAATAAGCTTTTTTATTTTATATTTCTTTTAAAGAAGCTCGTTAATGCAAGAATGTAAGATATCTTAAAGAGATCAGAATTAAGTGTAAAGTTAAATTCTTATTTATGATTACACTGACTCACGGGATAGTATAGGTACCTAGATCTAAATATCGAAAGTAAAAGATTCGTTTATGCTTAGCTTATGTGTGTTATAATACTCGCTAACGAATGTAACGAAACATAGAATTTTGAACCGGCAAACATTTTTAACTCGGATACATATCTAGATACAAATTGTAACCATAACACGAATATTTATAGCTAGAATAACATGTTTTGCTAATACTAAATTTATTTTTGTTCAATCCCTTATATATTAGGTACCTATACTTATGTGTCCTATTGATCATGTAAGAGATTATCAAAAAGTTTCAGTCCTGCTGTCGTAAAGCATATTCAATTTTTATAGGCCACAGCATGCGGTCCACAATTTAATTAACGACATTTTTTTAAAATTGACTCGTGATTTTAGCTGCTTCAGACGGAGAACTAAATTCAATAATAAACTGTACTATGATGATATTAATAATTGTAGGTAGGTACGACTCTTACCGAGAATAGCCATATCACGGCGGCAGTTATTATTGCAAATCATGGCCTTCGCCTGTAGTCAAATCAAATTACTCCGCAGTGGACTATTATTTTCGAAACCATCTTGCACGTTGTGAGAACAGAAGCAACACTAAGAAACACCGTGGAAGTAAGACAGCGGTTTTGTCTAGTATATACGACCGGCACGCCGACCTAGTCAACACTGAACGAACAACGGCGAGGAGCGACCGGTCCGCCAGCTTCAGCAGTGGATCGCCGCCCTCTCTTGTGTCCTATTACCTCTGCGGAAGAAGGATAATGAACACTTTATGCCTAATTTATATTATTCTACATCCAGGACGGTATATTATATATGGTGTGTGTGACCACCGTAGCCCGGTGGCAACTAGAGCATTGTAATAATAACTCCACAAAAATCTGGTAAATGAGTTATCATTATAACAACACATATTATTATGTAAAACTATAACAATACAAATAAATTATGCTAACAATACATATGCTATATGTATATACTATTTTAGGATAATTCATATTCCCCTACGCAGTCCAGAGGGAAACCGAAAAATTTAAGATTAAAGTGTTGTGTAAAAAAGTTGTCACAGAAATGTCAAACTTGACTATTGCCTCCTGGCCTACCTCCTTAATTATTATTCTAGTCTGGTTATAGGGTTAGTGTAATTTTAACCCTACTTTATTACCCATAATTATTAATCTGATTTCTGATTTAACTTGTTAATTCGTTACATTTTGTAGTTAGTAACCAATTAAATTAAAAAAAATTAATATCCCGCATCTTATCGATTTTTGAGTACAAGTTATTAATTAATTTTTTTAGTAATACAAATTCTAATATTAACCATTAAGTAAAGCTAATAATATTTAATTTATACCTGAAGACAGCTGTTGGAACAGCCCTTAAAAGCCTACCATACAATTGTCCAGACAATAAATCCAAAATCTGTTTCCAAAAAGTTGCACAAAATTACACTTAAGAACAAAGTATTAAAAAAAAAACATCGAATCTAAAAATACATGGATTTAAATTTGTACTCAATTGAAGCATGTCTAAACAAATTTTGGAATGATATTCACAAAAATGTTTAAGCTGATTAACCATATAGACAATTTCAAATGAGTTTTTTTTTTTTAACGGTCAGTAAACTCTATTGAAATTTATATTAAGTTGAAGATATATTTTATAAGAATTTATGTATGATCAATGTAATTCATTTTAATGGGTAAACCATTTTTCAAATTATCAAAATAACCGCTTTGCGAATGCACAATTCAAGTCCCTACTTTTTAAAAAGTTAAAAAAAAAACTATGTTCTAACTTGGTAAAGCTTTAGTTAGAAGAAGAGCTGTTTTTTTTATAAAAACGACATTTAATGAAAGCTTATTGTCTGAAAAAAATCAGGCATATTAGTATAAAACATAATTTTAGATCTAAATGAAGTTTTGAGAAAAATTGCCTTTTATCTAACGCCTTGAAAGGAAAGGGAATGGGCAAAGGCTAATTATTAAGGGGCAAAGGATAGGCAATATTTGACCAAAATTTATCATAGTACATTTAAAATATGCCGACTAATTTTAAGGTGAAAAAATATTTAGTTTTTCTAGCTATATAACTTTAATAGTTTTTTTCTTCGAGTTATGGTAGAAGTTGGTAGAAAATGACTTATTCTACTATACTAAGAAGTCATTCTTTGACGCATAGAAGGATTTCACTTTTTTTTTTTTATGTCTAGCTTACTAATTTCTCAAAGGGGTCTAAAAGGTCGATTTTTTAATTTAATTATTAGAAAACTTGTTAGATTTCTTAGAAAAAACTATAAAAAAAGTAAAAATATAAACGCTTATAAAAAAATTAAAAAACCAAAAAAAAATCGGCCTTATAGCCGTAATAGAGAAGTAAATTTATAAAACTTAATAACAAAACCAACTATACAGAGACTCTACAACAATCCTCATTGAACTCAAAAACGTTAAATCGTTACTTGTGTCATTTCTGAAATAACAGATTTTTATTATAATACTAAACTCTTAAGCATATTGTAATTTGTATTTATATTTATCATACAATTAATTACATTACCACTAGTATATACCTAATTACACGTGAAACAAATGATAACAGATTTTTAGTAGTTTTAAACTTTTACTCTAGTTAGGTATAATTCTAATAATACATTATATTGTTGGAATTATTTTGTATTGTTAATCAAAATCATAATTTTTTACACACCATAATGTTTATACATTATTTTATAAATTGTCATTGTTATTGCCGTATTAAAATATATAATAACAATCAAGTATAATATAAAATACAACAAAAATTACTATTTGTTAATCTCTAATAATTTTATATCCATAATTGGTAGTTTTTTGGGTCATGTGCATCCGTTCATGATTAGCAACCGCAGAAGCGCTTTTTAGCTCCATACCGCAAAAACTACATTGAAAGTTCATAGTTCCTTTTGTTTTGGTGTGGTAAAAATTGAAATGCACTTTAGCTCTGTCTTCCATTAAAAACATTTTACTACAAACACCACACCTGAATCTCTTTGGTAAATCGTCATGTTGAATCTCATCATGGTCAAGTAAATCACAAAACCTTGAAAACGTTTTATCACATATGTGGCATATATACGGTGATTTTTTTGAAGATCTCAATATGGATTCAGACTCTTGTTTGTTTTTCCTCGTTGGATGAAATTGTGTAACGTGTTCTTGAAGATCAGCTACAGTCAAAAATATTTTGTTGCATTTATTACATTCGGTTTTTTTATTAAGATCGCGATGCCTGGACACCGAATGTTGTTTTAAAAGCACAAATTCTTCAAACGTTGCACTACAATAGTAACATTGGAATTTATTATCTTCACCTTCATCCGACGTAGGAACTTCATTTAATTCATCATAATCAGTCTGAAAATTAAATTTTAAATTATTCACCAATTTTTTTTATTATTATTATTATTCTCTAACACTAATGTTATAATGTTAGTGGATTTATAAAATAATCTACAAAGATGTTTTTTACTTAAAACATACACAGGAAATACTGTCAATAAACAAATTGAATCATTACATTTTAACAGTTAAAAAAAAAACAATGCAGTTGAAATTAATAAGTCAACTTAATCACAATTTAATTTTCTTTTCTATTATTTTTTGTCTATATATCGTATAGAAATTTAAGAAAATGTTTAAACCTGTGTAATATTATCAAAATAAACATCATGCATGAATTGTACGGTTCATTGCAATAATATATAATTGTAAAGAAAAAGTTCTTTAATTTAAATACCTTTGACATAAAAGATTTAGTTAATGATTCTATGTATTGATCACATTGAGCATCCTCTTCATCTTCATCAATAAATGACCGACTATAATCCATACGTTCTTCTCTTTTTTTAGCATTTAATTTTAGTTCTGCAATTTCTTGGTGCATTTCACTAACGTGCTTTAATAATTCATAATCACTAGGAAACATTTTATCGCAAAATAGACAACAATGGTAATCAACTTCATCGATAAGTTCTAGGTGAGATGTAGTAATTGACTGAAATCATTAAAGAATGTTTAATTAATAATCATAAATTCCATTAAATATAAAATACATTAAATCGTTTATTCATGAAAGGAGATAAGTCACAATTTTCCAGTAAATACATTTTGTTTTTAAATATGTTCTGTAATTATAAAGGAATCATTTACTTTTGAAAGGAGTTAAATTCTTATAAAGTTCATGTTTTAAGGTGACCCAAATTCAAGAATTATTAGTTTATTTATGAAAAGTATTATTTTTATTAATGATTTTTATAAAAATATGTTTAAAAGAAGTTATAATTAAATATAATGGTGAAACAGTTTTGGTTTACATCAGTTTACACACACAATCACATTCATGATTAGGTAATTTTATTTATGAAAGTTATATAACTTATTTGTTTATAAAAAGGGTCAATTTATTCAATTAAACTCTTATTGGTTGAGAAATCAATTTTAAAAATTGGTATTCATAAGTTCAATTAAGTACAGTGCATATAATTTTTTTGAGGTAAAATTATGTGATAGTTTTTTTTAATTTTCTGAAATTTTTTTTTATAAATTATTGATTCTACAGGACAAAAAATAAATTGAACTATTACCTCTTTTTCATTAAAATTTATATTCGATTCTATTTCTTTCAAGGCTTCTTCGCTTTGTTTTTTAAACATCACCCAGTCTTGTACTCGGTCATAGCATTCATTACATATATGTTTTGGACCGATAGAATCTGAAGACAACTATAATATACATACAATTTAATTAATATGGATACTATTTATCGAAAACAGTCAAATTTTCAAGTGTATTTAGAAAATCGAAACCCAGCACATACCTTAATTTGTAAACAATTCATAATATCCTTGGCCAAATCAGGATCGGAAGGCATAAATATAGGAAAGGACGATTGCGAATGTCGTAAACAAAACCTACAAAACTGTAGTTCATCATTTTCAATTTCCATTATTCCAAACTTTTATTAAACAAACAATCGACAAAGAAAATCATAAAATCTAAGAAAATATAATAGGTAAATTATAATATTTTTATAATACTAGTTTTCAATTTCAATAGTTGTTATTTGTAAATTTTGTTATCATTTTTCTTATCTTGAATTCTGTGCTCGTCGTTATGAAAAATGTATTTTCTTATGATTAGAAAAACAATATCACCAACATGATGAGAAAACCCAAAATGAAGTTGGTCATTCTAAAACAATGTGGGCAGCGGCCGCTCATCCTTATCTCTCTCTTATCGTATTCGTGTGTTTTTCATTCATATGAATATGGTAGATATTTATTTTCGAAGGTTTAAAGTTTTGTTCTCAGAGTTGGCTGTTACGCTCAGTATACTATACTACTGGTGCTTCAGCGTACTATATTTAACTCGGTTTCTTTAAGAGTCCAAACACTAATGTTCCTATAGATAACAGTCCAGCACTCACCACAATCCACATTGATTTAAGATTTCTTTAAGTAAGTAAAAAATTGTAATACAATTTAAACTTTTTGGTTAATTTAAAGTATAGTCATAAATTCTAGATAGGTATCATCGTGAACGAACAGATCTAACAAATGTCGCTACCAAAGATTCTATACTTTTTAAGTTGTTTCTTAACCCCTACTATCTTAAAACGTGTAACAATTTCCGAAGTATTACTACTAAAGTAACTACAAACATCAATAATATCAATACTAGAAATAAAATGGCTCAAACTCAAAATCGTATATAAATATTTAGGGTTATCTCCGGGTGTCTTATAACCTTTATACAGCCAAATTAAGTATAATAACATCACAATTTGTGACTCATCATATGAAAGATACTTTCACTAAACCATAAAAAAACAATAAAAATATTTTATTTTTTCACATGAGCCTTTCTTGAAAAATATGAATTTTTTTTTATTTAACTTAACAAAAGTAATAGAACTCCCATTTTTATTAAATTCTATATTATCCAGTAGGTAGTTTTTAAAAATTGGTATTTTTCATAAAATATGTTTTCTGTAAAATTATTTGATAATAGGTATGTATTACAATATGTATAAAAAAATTTTTTTAGAAAGTTAGGTAAATGTTAATTTTTAATACATAACTATTAGCTATTCCTTATTTTAACATTTAAGTAGGAATACATTTATTTAGTCTAGAAGCAAACATTTTTAATTCATTTAACTTCAAAAAAAATTATTTTAAAATAAATTACTGACATTTATTTTAGAAAGTAATTATTGTATCTTTTGGTACTACCGTCAATATAATACTAGTAACACATAATAAGAAAACCTAATCTATAATGATAACCTCTTTGTTTACAACACAGACTTAAATATGGCTTAGTTGAGATTTCATGCTGACACTTCAATGCAGGGTATTTTCATTAATACCGTGCATTTCAATTTATACATTTTTAAAAAAAATTCTAAGAATTTTTAAATTATACTTTTTTTAATGATTAATCAATTATTTCAGCTTATTATGTTTTGTCAGTATTGATTTTAGACCATTTATTTATTTATTAACTACACAATAGGCACTATTGTACCGATGGCGGGTATCACAATGGTCAACATTTATTATAGCTTACTGTTGCATTACTATTAAAAAAAACTTACTTACTCGCACTACATGTTTGTACTATGTTTTGTCACTATATTGTTTTTACGGAGAACTAAAATTATCTAAAGATTTTCTACTGAGTTTTGTGATATTGTCACTATATATGAAATTTGTATTTGAAATATCAACAAGTATATTTATCTTTCTCTTTTATCTGGATTCATGTCTGATATGTGCTAGTATGTTAATATTGTAACACCCATAACTCTTAGTTTTAAAGACTATCACTCTCATATGAGTACTGAATTAATATATTTGTTATATAGATTGAAATTTTTTTTAAACAGCGTACATGTTATCTGATTTTTTTTTAATTATCCAATTATTTCATCATAAACTTACAAACCTATAATAGTAGTTCAAAAACCAAGTTTCTGTATTTATTTTAATCAGATATTGTAATCAATAATAGTTATCAATAGAATATTTCTAGTAGGTAATTATCAATTATTTTAGGGAAAACTGAACAAATTATTTTTAGATCAAATCCAATAATTAAAACCTGTATAAAAATGAAATGCATTACCTATTAATTTTAGTTTATTAAAATGTAATCTAAATATTTAAAATTTATTTGTTACAGACATTTTTCATTATGTGGTTAACTTGTCCTTCCAAATTACATAATTTCAAAAATAATATGTGAGTATTTGACAATCTAAAAATATGCAAGCTGTTGCCGTAAGAACTCCTAGGTCAATTTCAGCAGAAGAATGTTCACCCAGACAAAAATCCGATGTTGGAAAAGCAGCACGAAAAGCAAAACGTGTACGATTTCTTGTAAATGGTGATCGTTTTTGCAAAGGTAATGAGTAATAACTGTCTTAAAAATAATATATTGAATTTTAGCATAAATAGTTAATATAATATATTAATCGAATATTTACCCATCTTTCAAATTAAATTTATTAAATAAACAATTTCAAGTTCAATATTATGTTTTATTTATTTAAATTATAATATTTCTTCAACTAATATAAATGGAATTCTACTGTGTGAACATTAAATTATTGACAAGCGTAATGGCATATGTAATTTTTGTTTAAGTTAATTTTCACTTTTTAAATCCTACATTTGATATAATTTTCTGTATTTATTTCTTAGTCAAATTACTGTCGATTATAGTTACTATTTAGTTAGTTATAATCTAAAATAAAAACTGACACATTATAATTATAATTTACAATATCTTTGTCGTTATAGGTGTTGTTGTAGCTGTTACACATGAGCGCTATCGTTCGTTTGATAGTTTGCTCGCCGAATTATCAAACACGTTGTCTGAGAATAAACATCTACCTAGTGGAGTCAGAACGCTGTTCTCATTGGATGGACATAAAATATCTCAATTAGATGATCTCGAAGATGGCAAATTCTACATTTGCTCTGGTGGTAATAACGCAATTTTAAAAAAACTGGATTATGCAGCACTAAACAATGTTAAACCTTCTCGATCCTTGAGCAAATTACAATCCAATCATTCAGTTTTAAGTAGCCCAAGTAAACAACAATCGCAACTCAACATTAGACCTAAAATTATATTTGTCGTAAGAAGTGGCACTAGACCTCGTAAAATAATTAGAATGCTTTTAAACAAGCGCAACTCTCCGTCGTTTGAACATGTACTTTCACTCATCACCGATTCAATTAATTTGGACACCGGAGCTGTTCGCAAAGTATATGCAACATCTGGATCTCAAATAACATTGCTGAAACACTTTTTTGAATCCGACGATTTGTTTTTTGTGTATGGGTCTGAACGAGTATCACAAGATGATTTAAAACTAGATTTTGAAGAAATGAAAACCGTACAATCACATAAACGTGGCCTAAGAAAACCCCCTAATGAACTGAAAAATGGAACACATTGCATGGATGAAACTGGGAGACGAGTACCACGATTGCCAAAAACTACAAAAGCTAATAGAAACATCACTGGATCAATACCAAGCAAAGTTTTGAATAGGTATGTATGACTAATGTTTCTTGATGTATAGTTAAATATAATTTGAATTTAACATTTTGAAGATGAACTGTTTGTCTTAAGCCTTTCCATATTAAAGGCAACATTTAGGAACTGATTAATATTTGTTTCCATGTATCGATAAAAATTGAAATGTGTAACTAATAAAAATTTCCTTGGTGCGAATCTGGCTAAACACATGATTCATCTATCTGGGAAAAAAACCAAGTCTTCAAAATGTTAAATAATTATCTTAAAAGTTAATTTGTATTTAATTTTTTTTTTTACTTTTTATTTACCCTGACACACACATTACAAATAGGTAAACAACAAATATAATATAGGTTGCTTCCAACTCTTAAGACAATCTTTTTGAGGAGGATTGTAAGGCCTCTCCTAGACAGTTGCCTGCTTAAAGAGAGAGACCCATCAAATTGTTTTATTCTATACAATAAATATGTTATTTGAAATTATTCCGTAGAGAAAAATACCTCTCACGTGTAATTTGTAGTACCATGTATATAAAAATATCTAATACTTATCATTTATTTTTTTGTTTATAGATATACCATTGGCGATAGGCTAGGAGATGGAAATTTTGCAGTGGTGTACCGGTGTTATGACAAACGTAGTAATTCTGAATATGCTTTGAAAGTAATTAAGAAAATCGAAGCGCCTCAAATGAGCCAAATGATCGAAAACGAATTATCAATATTGAAAACAGTCAGTCATCCAAATATCATTAATTTGATATCCGATCTAGTGACGCCTACAGATGTTTACTTGATTACTGAACTCGTTAACGGTGGCGATTTATTTGAAGCCATTGCTAGGTGTACAGACTTTTCTGAGCGCGACACTCGTTTAATGACAAGAAATTTGGCATCAGCCTTAGCATACTTGCACGGATTGGATATTGTACACAGAGACGTAAAACCCGAAAACTTACTAGTCGAGTTTGACGACAGTGGGCACGTGCTACATCTAAAACTTGCCGATTTCGGTTTATCACAAAAAGTTACTGAACCTTTGTTCATGGTTTGTGGTACTCCCACGTATGTTGCACCTGAAATTCTCACACAGGAGGGATACGGTGTCAAAATTGACATCTGGGCCGCTGGCGTCATATTGTATATACTTTTGTGCGGTTTCCCGCCATTTGTCAGTGAGAACAATAGCCAAGAAGAACTTTTCGATGATATACTTAGTGGAACATATGGTTTCCCAGAGCCATATTGGGACAATGTGTCTGAAGAAGCCAAGGACTTGGTTTGCTCAATGTTACAGTCGAATCCTAGCTTACGGTTTTCTGCTGAGGACGTGCTCGACCACCCATGGTGTGATGAGTACGAGTTGTGATCAACAATTACTTCCTAATTATCAATTTTTTCCGCCATTTAATCAATTTGGCAAAACAAAATACGCTATTATTGTTTTATATTAATACAATAGTAATAATAATAATGAAGTGCAATTAGACTTGTATAACTGTTACGATATTTTAATTATTATTATTTTTAATTTGAAATTGTATTTTTTTCTTTTTTTTTTTTTTGTAGTGATTTAATGTTGATCTTGTAAGGCTATTTGTTTTTAGACACCCACCAACTTTTTTTTTTGTTTTTTTTTTTTTTGTAATTTTAGCCATTGCGAAAATCAAGCCAAAATATCTTAGACTTCCTAATTGGTATTATAATTTATAATGAAAATATTAAAGTGATATACCTTATAATAAATTATTCATGTGTTTCTTAAAATTGATTATATAGTATGTACAGTTTGAGTCGCAACAAATTCTAAAACTTAACACTTTTATTGTTTTGCACTAATAGGGGCAGTGATATTTATAAATCCATTTATTTATCCAACGTTGAATTTCATTTCTAGCTTTTTTGACGGATTTCGGGTCTAAGTGGTGTGACGCCCTTAGATCCAAATGATGGGCGGTGTCCGGCATCACTATAGCTCTGACGGAAGTAGACACACTGTGCAAAACACCACCGCTTGACCACGGGTCCAGCAAACCGTTACTGAAAATTCCACTTGTATGTATTTCAACTATTATATTAGCAAGCCACTTAAACAGTTTACGACGTTAGCCCTGTACTCACCTGAATACAATGTTGGACGCCGCTTTGAGATATTTGCCGCCGTACTCCTTTTCGACCGTATCGGTCTTAGGCATCACACCGTAAGTCTGTTGACAGTAGTCTGCGTAACCCTCGAAATCCCAGCCGTACGCTTCGAATATGTCCGTGACTCCGTTAGAGCAAAGTGGCATGATCATTTCCGTGCAGGCCTGCGAAACCGATCAAAATCGACGATTACAATGCTCCAAATGTCTTATGTCACCCGACTAAGAACTGATCATTGTTTCTCACTTGATAATTCCAGCCCATCATCATTTCTTCGGGGTAAGCTGTACTGAAATTTAGACAATCGGCCGCACCGGTATGGTTGAAGTACACGCTCAGTCCGCCGAACACCGACTCGAGTAACGTCCGGTCGCCTTGCTTGTGGTCGGTCATGGACTTGCACACTTCCTAAGATAAGGTTGCACGTGTTAAGTACAATATATATTATGTTTGTAGGTCGTCGTAGTCACGAGCATTCTTACCCGTATAGGGTTGCCCGGAAGAGGCGCCAAGAAATCGGCGGGATAGGGGTAATTGACCATGGCCAACGACACGTACACTTCCCAAGCCCAAAGCTTAAGCTTGATGACGTCACTGGTCTCCTGGAGAGGTTGGCATAATTTCCAACTGTCCGATAACCACTTTTTACCTTCGTCTGTATAATATATATATATATATACATATATGTATACAAGGTGGCCATTTTATCGTGAACCACTCGATATCTCATAGGGTTTAATATTAGTAATTGAATTTTTTTTTCATAGTGTTTTTATAAAATGTGATCTCAATTTTACACACATTTTTTTTTGTTACTACCCTCTCCCAAACCAATCATTTTTATATCTACTTTTGGAACTATATATGGTAATACATAAAAAGTTAATGAACATTCACTTTTTAAATTGAGAATAATGTACTACACACCAGTTTTGGGTCGCACTGTATAAAAAACACTATGAAATAAAAAATGCAATTTTATTGTTAAACCCTATGACATATTGAGTGGTTCACGATAAAATGATCACTCTGCATATCAATAATTTTCAACAATAAACCGCTAATATAATACTTTAATAATTATTATACTAGTAACTTATATAAAATTGCTAAAGAAAGACATATTTCCTCATATAACCTTATAATGTAATCATACAACAGATGAGCACAATAGCAAAGTATAAAGGATCGCCCAAATGAAATGGTAGCTATAGCCTATAAAATTGTGGAGTTATTGGACTACCTACCTAATGTAGCCTGACAACTATTTTTTTTTCGGGGGGGGGGCAGAACTAGTTATTTAAGTCATAGATAACTGGATGGTAATTCAGTTTTTAACTAAAGTCAAACCGTTAGAAATGTTTTATGTTATCCTGTACTTGACAATATTACCTATTACCTGATTCGGTGACGTTATCGATTGCTTTCCAAGATGCCCGTATCGATGCTCCACATTCTGCACTAGTATCCGTGTACACATTCGAGGTCACGTTGTAGAACGCGTTGCAGGGAGTCATCCCGGTAAACTGCCATATAGGGGCCGAAGACGCAATGGCTCTACTCAAAAGGTAAAATTCGCACTTAGGATACAATAGTTATAAAACTGTATACACGCGGTGGTGGTTTTCGGAAATCTGGATTTGAGTTTCAGACACAAATTACACACAGACAGTAGTAATCCTCCGACCCATATAACATAGTCGGTCTCACCACACTCTTGTCTAAGTCAACTTTAAGTCTCTCTCATTGGAATTCTCTTGTCGCATAAAACACCTGCCGCTACTCTCCACTCGATCCAACCACACGTAATCCTAATAACTATGATATGACTATATGTGTAAGGGTAAGCTATGATTATTTTGTTTTTTTATATATATATATACCCTTCGACCACCGTGGGGTACTTCATTCGAAACCAGGAAGCCAGCATGCCTCCGTACGAGCCGCCAAAAGCTATGACGGGGTTGGAATGTTTACCAGTTTTTGGACAGGGCGGACCGCGTAAGTGCGCTATCAAGTCGACAAAGTCGGCCAGGGCTTGTTGCGAATTCAAGTAGCCCAACCGGTCGCCTTTAAATGATTCTTCGTGTCCATAAGGCAGAGACTCTCCATAATACCTGTGCTCGGCAAATACCACCAACGCTTGGAATCGCTCTGCTATTTCCCACACAAAACCCTATAATTTCGACATTGTCCCATTATTTTGATTATCCGACTCCGGGAATAAACATTAATTTGCACTTATCATAGGATCGTTGTAGGCACCGAACGCACCTTGTTAATATTTTTAATCTATCATTATAATTCTAATCATTGAAACCGGCTCATGTTGATTTAAATATAAAAAGCTCCAGTTGCCAGCAGCTCTCGGAGAGTTGGATATTGTAAATCAGCAATCAGATTAACATCACAATAAATCCAATGGGTTGCTCACCGTATTGTCGCAGAAGACTTCGATTGTATCTTCACCGCCGGCATAAAAGAAAATCGGACCTCTTTTTGAATTCCAATACGTATCGTTGATGAGGTATTTCAAGTTAAACGTATGGCCGTTTGAAAAACTAAAATGGTCTACCTAATAACGATAAAACATTTGTGGATAAATTTTTTTCGAAAAAGGCTTCCTCTTGGATATTTTTACAATAACGAGCGATAAGGCCAATGACATTAGCTTAAGTAGTAGTATATTGTATGTTAATCCATAATATGACTTAGTTAAAATTATTTTAATAATATCTAAGTGTAAAGATTAAAATATTAGATTATGTACTATGTACGAGTACAGGTAATAGTTGGCCTTAATTGTTAACATTTAACATCAATAATTATCATATTCATATTTTTCAAACTAAAACTAATTATGTCCATTATTTTGTAGGTAACAGTTTTTCTTTTACGAATTTACTCATTAATATGTTGATCGTTTATTAGAATTGCTAATAAACATTTTCAAGCTTAAAGTTATTGAAAAATTTGCCAATTATTTCTACAATGAGATATTTAATATATACTTACCGGTACTGTGATGTATTCAACGTCATAAACATAGCCGCTCAAAACGGACTTTAAAATTAACGGCAAAATTAAATAGAATTTTATGATTGACATCTCTTAGACTATAAAATCGTACTGTTACCGAATATTATAGATATTATATTATGTTGGTAAAATAGAAAACAAATTCTAGTCATAACCAACAAACTTTTTTTTTTCAATCTATGTTTACGTGTAATCGTGGGCGTCGAACTAAAGTGTTAGCGCTTAGCAAACGAAGATAAGATTACTAACTTTTTAGTATCTAACTAAAAAAATATAGGTATAAATCTCATATTACATTATTAAGTGTCATGGACGGCTAATGACAGAAATTGAGTAGGCGGTTCGTATAATAATTATTAATCAAGCTATTCACAGGTATAGTTGCATATTATAAGCAACAAAATTCTAGCAAAACACTAGACAGAAATATGGGACTTAGTTAGTATGAAAACATAATGAAATTTATAAAATTTAAACTAGATTTTTCAATTTTTAGCTACTTAAAAATTTGCACAAAAAACTTTTTTAAATATGTTATGAAAAAGAACACTATTAAATTACAATTCTTCCGTATGAGTTTCATTTCAACACATAATAATAAGTCATCAAGTAACGTGGTCGTGAACTAATGATGCACAATAAATTTATGGAATATAGCATTGCCCAAGTCCAAAAAAAATTGTTTTTTTTTTATTCTTTAGATTTTATGGAACTGTCTGCATAGGTAATATAAGTTTGAGGCATTTAGAAAATACATTAGTACACATATCCAGTGAAACCATAGGCATTATTTATACATTTTTAATCATCAAAATGTCCATCTTTTTTTTAAAAAAAAAAACATTTTACTGCAATCATGACTTACGGTCATAGATACATACAAAAAATATTTGTTTTGTCAGACCAGTAATCGATGATGAGGTTTGCATCAAGATTTAGTTGTTTTTGCGGTAACCGTCAACCCATCTTTTAATAGTTTTTTTGTAGTACTTCCTGGCTTCGGTCACCGATTGAGGGTCCTCGGCGTTCGACGCTCTCAAGTCCAAATGGTGTGCAGCATCTGGCATTATGACAGCTTGTACGGTGTTAGAAATGTCGTGCAACACTCCACCGCTAGACCAAGGATCCAATAGGCCATTACTGAAACGATATAAGTAAATTTAACAGACTTTAATTCACTTTCTAGGGACTTAAGTTAGGACTTGGGCCCCTGACAAATGACAGTCTTTCAGACTCCTGTACTGGCGGTGCCATATTGATGTTATTATTGTAAACATTTTAACAAAATACCCACAAATGTACACTTGTGGGTATTTTGTTATGAAGTTCGACCTTTTAAAAACTCTGAAGTTCAGTAAAAATGATAAACCTTACTTGGGGGCTGTGCTCGATTGGTTGCTGACAATTTGTTTAGATCCTGAACGAGTTAAAACGGATTGTAACTTCCCTAGCCCTTCTCCCCACTAGTTGTGCCAATGGTGTACCTGCTCTATGCCTAATTAAAATATCAGCTGTTACGCTCTATTTTACCTAAATATGATGTTTGACGATGCGATGAGGTGTTTACCGCCGTAAATCTTCTCGGCTAAACCTATTGCCGGATAAACGCCGTATTCTTTATAACAATAATCAGCGTCTTCTGTATAATTTTGCGGAGACTTCTCAAATATATCTTTGATGCCGTTAGTACACAAGGGAATCATCAACTCGGTGCAAATCTGCATATAATACAATATGTTTTATAGTTTTAAAAAAAATAACACAGAAATAGAGTTGTACCACCGACCAAAGGTGTGTTTAGGATTATCTAAAAAAAGAGTTTATAATAATATTCAAACTAAATAATTATTAATAGTTAAATTCTGAGGTTCCGTTAGTAAACAGCCCCCTCTTCAGTCATTCATGTCGTATGTGTACATATTATGTCTTCAAATTGTCTTATTGTTTGAACTAACTTATTGTAAATATTAAAAAAATATATTACATACTTGGTAAGAAAATGCTTTTCTACTAGGCTTAACCGTACCATGAACATCAAGACATTGGGAAGAACCGGTGTAGTTGAAGTACACTTTCAAACCCTCGAAGACCGATGATAAAAGTGTATAACAGTCGCTTTGAGAATTTGTTAATGGCTTACAAAATTCCTAAACATTTACCAGAAACATATTGAATGTAAAAAAATGTTAATTTTTTTTTCAATATTATCGGTCAACAATAATTATGATGTTGGTCTGATTTGAAACTTGAAAAATACTTGAGGTTACCTTAATAGGATTTCCCGGCAATGGCATCAAAAAATCGGCAGGATACGGATAATTCGCCATAGCCATATTTTCATATGCTCTTTTAGCCCAACTTTTTAGCTTTGTAACGTCGGTAGAATTTTTTAAAGGCCAACAGAGTTTCCATTGATTTGATAACCATTCTTTACCTTTGTCTGAAAGTAACCCATTTTATTATTATTACATTATAATTTACAATCCAAGGAAATATGATTGTAGTGCGATTGCGTATAAAAAAAATATATTGGTCATAACTCCAAATATGAACTAACGTTTAGACCGAACCCCCCCTCCGACTTTATTCAAAATAACAATGCATGTCTGTTTCGATGAAAAAAATGTTTTTTTTTTTATTATTTTGGCTATGGTTGTAAAAAGTAGTTTGAGTTTTTATCTTGACCTCTTTTTTTTTATCCTTTTTTTATAAAAAAGGATCTGATTTTTTTTGTATCTTCGGCTACAAAAAAAATTATTAAAAATCAGTTTATTCTGTAAAATAATCGCATCATCCTGAAAATGTTTTTTCGCATAATATAATAAGATCACTAAAATTGAATTTATGATATAAAAAGTAGTTTTTGACATTTTCATGTCTTAGCTCTGGCACATAACCGAAAAAATTGTTTACGTGTTGGCCTAAATTTGAGCATTTCCCTAATATTTTTTTCAGAAAGCTGAAATTATTTTACATAAAAATCTGATTTTTAATACATTTTTTGACGGCCGAAGATGCTGCTATAAAAAATTGAAATACAAGAAGTACCAAGTGAGAGACATGCAGTGTAATTTTCGAAAAATTCGGAGGGAGGGGGTCGGCCCAAACGTTTGGTTATATTTGGCATTTTAACCATAATATTTGCCATACAACTAATATATTTACCTGTTGTAGTGACGTCATCGATGGCTTTCCACGAAGATCGAATTGTCTGACCACACTCTTTGCTGGTTGCCATATAGACAGATGACGCCACTCTGTAGAATGCGTTGCAAGGTGTCAGTCCTTCAATAAGCCATATCGGAGCCGACGAAGCAATAGCCCTAGAGATAATTAAATGGCGCTTACACTTTTCCATTATAAATTCCGTTATAAATAAAGTACGCTTTAGTATATTGTTACTTACCCTTCGGCAGAAGCGGGATACTTCATCCTTAACCAAGCGGCCAGTATACCCCCGTATGATCCGCCAAAAACGATAACCGGATTGGATCTTGTGTCCACCGTTTGAGTATCGTACTCGCCATAATCAATCGTGGGTGGTTTGTCATGTGATTTTGGTCTTAAGTGCTCAATCAAATCCACGTAGTCGGCAAGTGCTTGTTGCGACGTTAAGTAACCTATATGCTGCTTGTCGTCGAACGAAGCATTCCCATACGGCAAGGAGTCACCGTAGTACCTGTGCTCGGCGAATACCACAAGCGCTTTAAACTCTTCAGCAATCTCCCACATGAAACCCTAAAAAAAAACGCATTCATTACCAACTCAAATAGAATATTTTATGTCAGTATTTGGCTTTTAACGATTGCGGTTGATCTCTTCGCCATACTTACTGTACTATTGCAAAACATTTCAATCACCCCTTCGTTACCGGTATAAAAAAATATTGGTCCATTGGACGAATCCCAGTAGGAATCATTTATCAGATATTTCATCTTAAATGTATCATTTTTAGTAAAACTAAAATGGTCAACCTGAAAAAATAAAAATCAAGTTGTACTGACATTTACTTATAAAAATTCAATGTTAAGCAATCAGAAAAAACTAATGAACTCGATTACTTTCTACTACTACCGCTAATAAGAAATTTGACAACAAGCTAAAATTTTACATTAAATAAAAAAAAATTTACTGTATGCCAGCACGCAGAGGTGGGCATTTTTTATTTAAATTAAAAGTTAAATTTTTTCTATGTCTTATTATTTAGGTATATCTATTTAAATTTTAATTTTTACCAACAATAATTGTTTTCGGTTTTTTTAAATAAAAAGAGTGAACGTTTTAAGGTTTTGAATCTGATTGATGAGAAGAACCATTCGGTTGAGACTTCTAATCGATTGATGAGCTTATATTAAAAACCCGCTGTTTAAAAAGTATTACATAAAAAAAAAACAATTAAGTAGATACTGTGTAATTTTATTTTATAAATGTACCTAATTGTTAATTTTGAATAGTAATTCTACTAGACTTACCGGCACTGTGAAATATTTCGTCTCGTATACATAACTTGGTAGAGCACTTTTTAAAGTGATCACCAGGAAAATCAATAATAGATTATTCATCTTCTTCGCATAAATTCTATATTAAGTACTTGCTATTAATTGGATTTGGCCCAGCGGCTAAAAAAGTTATCGCAGGTCTGGATACAGAATTCATGTATGTATAGAAAAACATAAATAACAAATATATTAATTTTCGAAGTTGTTTTCAACGTTTTATACTGGTTTTTACTGTAATTTCCTTATTTACTCGTACATTACACTGAGTGATAAAACACAGGTCCAGGCCATTGTTTTGCTCCCTACAGTAAATTTTGACAGCTATTAAACTACATTTTTGAGGACAATTTATTTTTGTTTTGCGATGCAGCTGCGACAACTGACGGTACACAAATAAAAAAATCTAATTTTGATAGCTCTATTTTTCACAAAACCAACAGGTACACATCGCACGGTCAACAACAATAAGGCCATAACTCAAAAAAAGCAAATGTTCAGGAAATCAATATTAGAAATTAGAACAAAATTCTCATATTTTCACTGAACAAAAAATTATCTCGGAAGTTCTTACATAATTATAACTTTGTTGTGATTTTAATTACATAATTTGAACAATTTATTTATTTTTCTATATCACTACTATTGTCCCATGCTTCGCATATGCCATATAGAACACTGGCCCTTCTTTGGCTGAAAGAAATATTTCTTTGATTATTAATTAAGTCATATAAGTACACATTTATTTTTATTTTCTTATTGATTAATTTAATACAGTCTGTACATTTCAGCAATAGTTAACTACCGTCGATATACTCCCTTTGAGTTTGTGCTCTTAAATAATGAGAGCTTATACGAGGAAATGAATCAATGTAGTTTAACACTTCTTGTTTCATTTTTTCTGAAATGTGGTTATGGTTATCATGTTTACCCTGTTTCGCTGGTTCCCATACTCCTGCAGTATTCAACTTATTAAAATAGTTTCTTATTATTTTGTCACTTATTACTAGGGTTGATTCAAACATTTTTTTCCAACTTCTTCTTCTTCTAAAAAATATTGCTAATTTGTCTATTAGAATTGGGTGTTTTCATTTAATATTTAGGTAAAACTGGAACTGCATGTCTTGCAATAAACTCACGTTGTCTTTCTTTATCACCCATTTCCCAAAACTTTTTATTAATTTTATTTCTGATTTCTAAATTTAATATAGAGTTACACTTATAACGGCAATTTTCTCAAGAAGGTTTAAATGATTTTGACTTGACAATCAACCCTAATGCAATTACATATTCTTCACCACGGTGATTGATTTGTTCCATAACAATAAAATTATTAGTTTCTGCTAAAGTTTCCGATTCATTTTGACTTGGTTGTGTTACAATATTTTGTACAGATTGAAAACTTGAATGTGTTGGTTCAACTTCAATAATATCATTCCAAATATTCCAAACCAGGTAAAGAGTAAAAAGTATCACCCTATAAAAGTTAAATAATTCATTATGTTAATAATTAAATTATACTATGCATAGTGCAAAACAGAGTAACCTACAAAATAACAGATATGGCTTTAGAAAAATGTTATGTTAATAAACAGTATAAATATTATTAAACACAATCATACATTAGTGAAGTAGGTACTTACATTGAATTCAGGAAGTGGTCTATCAATATTTTCCTTAGTGGTTGAGTATTCATCATCTTGAAGAAAACAATTATTATTATTGTTATTTGTAGTCACTTTCTAATAAAAAAAAATCATAATAATGTATAAATACAATGAAATTGAGAAGGTCTATATTACTGAACTGCTGAACTGTATATTCGGTTGCCTATATCCAGGGGCATATGTACTGAACTACTGAAATGCGCTACCCCTCCAAACATAGTTATTTTTTTATAGCAACTTTTGGAACCTAAAAGGTAACGCATTTAATTTTATTACATTTCATTAACATTTTAAATTGAGAATAATGTACTAACAATTTTGATTGGTCAATCACCGTTTTTTAATTAGTATTTTTGAAGTTTTAAGTTTAGGACGGGAGGAAGGGTGGTGTACAGTATTTATTTCAACTGTGCGCATTGCTCAACCACACATCCCCTCCTATCCTAACTTTCAAACTCTAATTGCTTTAAAAATAATTAATAAAACCCGGTTAACCCAGTGACAAATGGCTTGGATTAATTAAAAAAATTACCCTGTGCTTATATATAACTTTTGGTGTATTTTGACCGAAAAAGTGCCACATATAATAATTAATGTTATACGTTATGACAGCGTCGCACGATAAATCGTTCACAATCGTTTGATTTTTGGGTATAAAATAGTTTTTCTTTGATCTACCGACAATCGTTCGCATTAGCGTTGTGAAAAAGGTAAAACGTTCGTTGTCGTGAATATTATTAGGTTGTAGTTTTTGTATTTCAATATCGTGACCTTGCAGCGAGATTAAATTGAAAATAAAACGGGAGAACACATTTTATAAAAACGATGAAAAAAAAATTAAATTATAAATTAAACCAAGTGAGATATTGAGTAGACTACCGGTTCTCAAACTGTGACGCTCGTCTTCCTTGGGAGATCCATGCACTGAACAGGGTAGGCACGAGGTAAATATTGATATTTTTAGATCAACGATAATTTCAAAAGATAACGCACTAAAGCGAGTATTTGTAATTAAATTATTCAAAGTAGGCGCGATTATTTTATTTTTAGGGATGCGTGAACCAAAAAAGTTTGGGAACTGCTGGAGTAAACCACGGTAAAAAAAAATCACCTGTATATACGTATTATTTAAACAACCAGTCACATTATCAACATATATTAAAATACACTGATTACATAAACATATTATGTAAATTTAATCTATGTTATTACTGAGTCAAATGTCAAACCTCCATTCCGACCTCGTTGCGCACATGATCAATTTTTTGGCGACCATAGACTGTTTTGTTTAACTAACCTAACCTAACGGGATGATTATTTTATTGTAAACCACTCAATATCTTATAGGGTTTAATGAGAAATTAAATTTATTTTTTTTCAGTGTTTTTTATAAAATGTTATCTTAGTTTTTCTCAATTTTTTACATTTTGTTTTTTGTGTTGCCCCTTCCAAACTAATTATTTTCATATCAACTTTTGAAACTTAAATGGTAACGCATATATTTTATTTCCTTTTTAAATTAACAATATTATACTAAAAATGTTGATTGGTTGGTAACCAGTATTTTGAACAACTATTTTTTATTATACATAACACATAACTTAATAGATAAAACTCTTTTTTTTACGTAAGTCATGACAGTTATTTTTTATCAATATTTATGACTTAGATTTTGAGTAGAAATTATATCCATCTCAAAAAAAAAAACCAGTACAGTGGGGTCGGGGCATAATGGGGACGGGTAGGTCACAGGTTTAGAGAAATTTTTAAATCTGAAAGTGGCAAAATCACTTTGTAATAAAATAAGCATAAAAATGGTTTTTAACAAAAAAAGACACCATGCTTAAGTGTAACGGATAAGGTTTTATAGAAAGTATTAGTTATAAATATAGTTATTATAGGACTTTTGTGTTCAGATTTTTCTTATATAATATTAAATAAAAATACAAGTTATAAACTACCTATTATTTCGATGAAAAATATTATTTTAAGGACTTTATATTATTTTTTGGTGCCTTGACGTATTACATTTTGCGCGATAAATTCTTTAATAGTTCTACGCCAAAAGTATAATCGGTGATCAAGGTTTGCGTCAAGATTTAGTTGTTTTTGCGGTAGCCGTCAACCCATCTTTTAATATTTTTTTTGTAGTACTTCCTGGCTTCGGTCACCGATTGAGGGTCCTCGGCGTTCGACGCTCTCAAGTCCAAATGGTGTGCAGCATCTGGCATTATGACAGCTTGTACGGTGTTAGAAATGTCGTGCAACACTCCACCGCTAGACCAAGGATCCAATAGGCCATTACTGAAACGATATAAGTACATTTAACAGACTTTAATTCACTTTCTAGGGACTTAAGTTAGGACTTGGGCCCCTGACAAATGACAGTCCTCCAGACTCCTGTACTGGCAGTGTCATAATGATGTTATTATTGTAAACGTTTAAACAAAATACCCATAAATGTACACTTGTGGGTATTTTGTTATGAAGTTCGACCTTTTAAAAGGTTCAGTAAAAATGATAAACCTTACTTGGGGGCTGTGCTCGATTGGTTGCTGACAATCTGTTTAGACCCTGAACGAGTAAAAACGGATTGTAACTTCCCTAGCCCTTCTCCCCTCTAGTTGCGCCAATGGTGTACCTGCTCTATGCCTAATTAAAATATCAGCTGTTACGCTCTTTTTTACCTAAATATGATGTTTGACGATGCGATGAGGTGTTTACCGCCGTAAGTCTTCTCGGCTAGACCTATTGCCGGATAAACGCCGTATTGTTTATAGCACCATTGAACTTGACCTGTAGAATTCCACGGAGACTTTTCAAATATATCTTTGATGCCGTTAGTACACATGGGCATGATCAACTCGGTGCAAGTCTTCATATAATACAATACGTTTTATATAAAAAAAAAAAATCAGAAATACAGTTGTACCCCAGAAGGTATCAGTAGACGGGCGCACACCAGTTGCCTCTCAAAAACAAGGAATTGCCTCCCTTGCCAGGTACTTAATATTTTTTATCCGAATGGCCTCCCAAAGATATCTGAATTTTCCCCGGTTACCTTAATTTCTTATCGTAACTTTTTGGGTCAAAAAGTACTAGTTGCCTCCCGTGTCAGATATTTCATCCGAATCTTATCCCAAAAATATCTGATTTCAAAAAAAAAATTGTATAAATACTTTATTTTTACATAATAATAGTATTTTATGCTGTAATCATTTTTAAATGGTCAAAGTATGACAGCTATCGATATAGTTGTTATGTGTGGGTATCTCGATATCAATGTTATTATTTAAAAGGGATCTTTGGGAAGGAATTCGGATAACCTTGAGAGGCAACTCGGATGAAAAATATTGATTACCTGGCACGGAAGGCAACTAGTAGTTTATGACCCAAAATATTACGACAAGAAATAAAAGTCACTGGAGGGAATTCAGATATTCTTGGGAGGCAACTAGTATATTATTTTAGACGACTACCTGAGGATGGGAGGCAACTAGTGTGCGCCCCTGTAGACAGTGGCGTGTTAATTTGTCAAGAAAGGATATATGAGTTGGTTAACATTTAATTGACCCAAAATGACTTTGTCTCCTTACCCCATCCATC